GTTACGATAGTTTCGATCTCTCCTATAGATATCTATTATGTTGACATGGTAGATACATGTTCATTCCATTCAAGATACCATTTTTTCTTGGATTCTTTCATTGAATCCGTTAAATTTATGAAAAGAACTGTAACAGATATAAATATTTCAGTTATCACCATTAAAAGGTTTTGACTAAGGCAAATTGTTTTAACTGCTACAACTTTCTCTATAAAATTGATTTATAGATTGCAACAAATTTGAAAACTCAAAAAGATAGGTAATGGTAGATTTCTTAGGTACCCTCTTTAAGGAGTGTCCTCGTCCTCAGATGACATCTTTAATTTCAAACCTACAGTAAATTTCAGTCACAACATCAACCCTATGAGTCCATGCCGCTTCTAAAGCTTCCAAAATCATCCACTCAAAACCTTACGATCATCTTTCAATCTCCAAATGAAGAAATGAGAAAGTCTTTGTTGATTACGTAGATGCCCCTATTACCTAACCGTGACTTAAGCCATGGTTCCAAAACTCTAATGTTCCTATTACCTAACCATGACTTGAACCGTGTTTCGAACCCATACATTAACGACATTGTCCATAGTGTTGCCAACAACCAAAGACGAATCTCACATGGTTAAACCACTGATACATTGGCTCAATTCTTACTTGACCCTTGTTTCTTTTCAAAAAGGCTTGAAAATCATGAAGAATGAACCATCAAGCTTAAAAAACTCAACTCGTTATTATGCATTGAAAACCATGAAGAATGTTATCTCTAATTGTAAAAAAAAAAAAAAAAAAAAAAAAAAAAAAAAGAGAGTCAAAGAGCTATCCATCATAAACTATTAAAAAAATTGAACAGCAGCAAAACTTCATTAAGAAACAATCAAGCTAGGAGCTATCAACAAACATACAAAAACAAATTAAGGCATTAGCGGATTACGCATCCAATCAATCCAACTAACACAAGCCTTAGAGTTCTAAAAAGAAAACCAATGAAAAGACAAATCAACAATAGTATCATACAGAAGATGCTTTTTAAACTTATTGGGACTAAAAATGACACCATTTCTATACGACCAATAACCCATAAACTCACCATGCAAACCGACTCAAAGATAGGTTGATTCCTATGAATAATTAATGTCGAATCAATCCAATCAATCATCTCTGCAACACCAGGGCAAATATGAAACGAAATATCAAGCCATAGCCCAAGTCTCCTCCAAATTTGACAAGCCACCTCACAATGAAAAAAAAGATGTGAAATACTTTCTTCAAAAGACTATCAAACTAGGCATAGAATAGATTCCAACTATACACCTCTACCCACAAAAACCGAACGAACAAGGATTCTATTTAACCTTAATCTCCACAAAAAAAATATTAACTTTAATTGGAACACTCCGATTCCATCTAGTCCCCATTCCACTAACCGACGGAGAAAGAGAATGAATATGTCTTATCATGGACTTAACAGAAAACACCCTACTTGGATCAAGACTCCAGGACCACCTGTCGGGAGTGGAAGACAACTGAATAGGAGTCAAAATCTGCATAAAACTCTGTAACTGCTTAGCTTCAACTCCACCTCTAATGCCATGCCTCCAAGAGAAGTTCCACCCACTAGAAGTCCAGAAATTCGAGAGCAACCCATCTTTCATCAAAGATAATGAATACAACCTTGGGAATTGCATTTTAAACAATACGCCTCCACACCAAACATCTTCCTAAAACCAAACCACAGACCCATCAACTACAATAATCAAAATTAAGTCTGAATTTAAGACATCTTGACTTTCCATCTTCTCTATACAATCCACAATTCTCTTCCAAACTCCCATGCCTCATGATAAACGCACATTATGAGCCAAAGCCTCAGATTCACCATGTAGCCCTTTAATAAGCCTCACCCATAAGGACAAGTGCTCATGAAGAAACCGTCACTTCCATTTAACTAGGAGAACCCGGTTAAAGGCATCGAAACTACCAACCTCTAAAGCACCATTATCCCTAGACATAAGGATAATATCCCATTTGACCCAATGAATACATCTTTGAACTTCCTCCATACCCCAAAAAAAGAGCTCCAAGAGACTCCAGTATATAGTCTCTTACGAAACCTATCCACAATCACATCCCAGCTATTGACACGGCTCATAGATCCACCCAACAGAATTCCAAGGTAAGAAAAAGGAAACTTAACTGCATCACATCCTGTAATAGAAGCAAGAGAAGTAACTTCAAACTGATTAACACCACCACCCAACAAACTAGATTTAAAGATATTAATCTTTAAACCCAAAACCATATAAAAACACTAAATAATGGTGATAAGATTTCGAATACTGCCCTCCTCCCATTTACCCAAAAATAAAGCATCATCAGCATAAAAAAGATGAGAAATCTCTAAATTAGCCTCTTCAATCTTAAACCCACGAAAATTTCTAGAATCAACCGCATCCTTCATAGCTATATGTAGGCCCTCCATAGCAATACGATACAAAAAAGGTGAAAATGGATCACCTTGTCGTAAACCTCTAAAAATTTGGAACTTTTTAGTTGGGATACCATTAACAAGGATAGAAGATCTAGCATTTTTTAGTAAACCATGAATCCAAGACCGACACCTATCACCAAAGCACATAAACCCCATAATTTGATCCAAATAATCCCAACTAACAAAATCATACCCTTTCTCAAAATCAACTTTAAAAATAAGGAATTTCTTATTTCTCTTTTTCCCCCAAAAAATCATTTCATTAACCATAAAGGGGCCCATCTAAAATTTGTCGATATTTAAGGAAAGTCGACTGCACCATACGATTTACATCAGGAAGCACCACCTCCAAACATTTAGCTAAAATTTTAGCAATAATTTTGAATTTCATCCAATAAAGCTAATAGGACAGAAGTCTTTAACAAGTAACGGATTCTCAACCTTGGGGATAAGAGTAATGAATGAGGAATTACAACCCACAGGAATAATAGGTTTATAAAAAAAATTCTTTCACAAATGCAATCACATCATCCCTTATATATCTCAATAATTTATAATTTTTAAGAAACTGAAAAGAGAAACCATCTAGACCTGGGGCTCTATCCCCACCACAATCCCAAACCGTCTCCTTAATCTCTTCTACAGTAAAAAGTCTCTCTAATCCCAAAGCATTCACCAACGTAATAGAAGAAAAACCATTACTTCTCTCCACCATCTGAATACCATTAAACACTTGAAACTTAGAAGAGTAAAAAAAAAAAAAACAAAAAAATCTTTTTTTACAGCTATTAGATCCGGAACCCAATCCCCATTAACCGAGACCCCACAAATTGGGCGTGTTTGGCATAGAGCTTTTGGAAGCGTTTAGGAGCTTCTAGCTTTTAGCTTTTGACAAAACGCTCTAGTTTAAACAAAAAGCTTCGTTTGGCAGTACGAGCGTTTAGCTTTTAGTTTTATCAAAACGCTCCGATTCTAAAAGCTACTTCATATAGCTTTTAACAAAACGCTTTGGAGCTTTTGAAATCAATTTCCATAATTACCCTTAAAAATATATTTATATACTTTTTTATTTTTAATCAATTGTCCTTTTATGTAATTTTATATATTTCAAAAGCTTCCAGCTCCTTTTGCCAAACATTCATATAACAAATAAAAGCTACAGTTTCCCGCTACCAGCTACCAGCTACATGCTACCAGCTAACCGCTACCCGCTTCCAGCTAACAGCTACTTTTGGCAAACACGCCCATTAACATCTGACGTCTTCTTTTCTTCAACATACCATGAAAAAAAACAATATTCTCATCACCTTTGATAAACCATTTCTCCTTAGCTTTCTAAACCAAATCTGACATCTCCTGACTTTTGATAGCAGCCAAAGACCCAAGAGCCTGTTTCCGTTCATTACATAATTGAATAGTGATATGACCACTATCAATACTAGTATCAGTATCATGCAACCGAGACTTCAAATCAATCTTCTGATGCTCATGGATCTCCTTGGCCTAGACATGAAACTCCCGAATCCTATTCTTGATAAACTTAAGTTTATTTTTGAATACAACAAATTTACTCCAGCTTGGATTCACCACAAACTCTGAAACACTTGCTCGGATCATCTCATCAAATCCATCTAACAACATCCACGAATTAAAGAATCTAAAAGTAGGAGGACCATAAGCAACCTTAACTTCATGCAACAGAATAGGGCAATGGTCAGACCACAACTGGTCCAACACTGCCACCTGTAACCCTCGAACCGGTCATACCCTCAGACACCAAAAAACGATCAAACTTACTAAGCTTGAAATTATAAGAGTCAATCCTAGTAAATTTCTTCAATTATAGGCACATCCACACCCCTATATCATCTATAAAATTATTAAAATCCTCAGCAGAAGAAGAACAATAAACCGAACCAAACCATTCCTCAACATTCATAACCACATTAAAATCACCAAAAATAACATAATTACCCTCATATATGGTAATAAAAAAAGAAATATAATTCCATAGTAATCTTTTCTCTGATATCTTGAAGAGCATAAACATTCACCATACAACATTCCATATTAAATGGGACCCAGAAGCCTCGAACAATAACAACATTAATGGTACAAACAATACTAATTTTTTTACACATATTTGGATCCCAAGTCGATAAAATACTCCCGGATCTCCCACGATCACTACTAAAAGCATAGCCAAAACTACAATTCCCCCACATACTTCTAACTTTGAATAGATCCAACTGAGTCATTCTAGTTTCTTGTAACCCCAAAAACCACACACCATTTTGAACACACAAAGACTTCACCCAATTCCTCTTATGAGAAGAACGGGTGCTACATATGTTCCATGAAATGCAATTCATTAAACAACTTGAATGACACCAATACTAGCCAAAATTTGTTTCAACTTATCTTTGTTACCTTCCATATCGTAGCCAAGCAACCTTCCCATTTCAACATACTGATTCATAATATCCGAAATATCTTCAATATTATCTGGGACTCGTTATTTCAACAATCTCGAAGAACCATGGGAACTAGCAAAATTAGACTTCATTTTACTAGTCCCGGGATTCAACTCTACATCACGCTTGAAACCAGGTGGCTGAGAAAGAGGGTCATTAGAAACATTATCATCACCCAACCCTTGCATATCCTCAACCGTAGGGCCTACCAATGTAGCAACTGGAACATCCGACACTGTTCCAGAACCAACATCACCTATCTGATCATCATTAGCATCAATTGGACCACCCACCGAAGCATCTATTGGCACTGAATTGGAGCTCCTCCTGTGAGCATCAAATTTTAAAGGATCTGTTTGAAAAAATCGGCCTTTCCGATCTACAAAACTTGCCCCCTTGATATTACCATACTCTTGCTCAATGCCAATTGAATTATCATTTTCCATATCAATAGACTTAAGTTTACCCTTAGGTGTCATTTCTCCTGCTTCTTCAGCTACACCATCATCAAAATCATTAACATCCTTTTCCAAATCACCAGAGACAGTTTATCCTGAATTAATGAAGTTTGAGCTGTTTTGATACAAACTCTTTCAATCGCCAATGGAGCTTGATTATCATCATCCAAGAAGCACACTTTGCCCCAAATACCTGCCACCTTATTCACTGCATTGTCATTCCATGCACAACATGGTAATCCAAGTATTTCAATCCAAACAACTCTCTCTACAACTTTAAACCATTAAACATAGGCCTGAAGTTAGAGAAAAAAGCATGAATAAAAGAAGACTTCTTAAACTTAGAGCACACCATGTCTTAATCATACTCCACGTACACCCAATCATAACCCAAATATTTTATCTGTAAGTCATGGAACCCTTCCTCTTTCAACAAAACTAGTGGCTTCGGAATCAACCTAACACTTCTGACTTGACAAAAAACGGATGGTTTTACAGCCAAATCGTTAATAATATCCTTACCATCAAGAATAATCAACTTCTCGGCTTTATTCAGTTTTACAATACCACCCTTCACAACATTAGCATAAGTCACTTTCTGGGTAGTATTGCTACCACCACCAACAGTATGCACATGGACCTGTGACTCCCCATGCACATGATTATTCTCCCTTCCAAACTTAGCCAAAGAAACAAAAACATGATAACTGCCGATCCAAAGATCACGAAGCTTCAATTCAAGTTGTTTCTCATCCTGCACTTTAAAAAATCTAACAAACGCAAACCTTTTCCCAAACATGGACAATTTTCAGGCAATATAAACAGCTGAAACGCTCCCATACTTTTCGCATATGGACCAAAGTTGCTTATTATCCAAGTCAGAAGGGAAATTAGTGAGAAAGAAAGGTGTAGATACCTTATCAACATTCCACCCAGCCTTTTTTTATTGGAAATTTCCCAATCCTACGTATCCTTACGACTCGTATGAACTATCCAAAATGAAGAATTAAGAATTGAAATATACTAGCAAGGAACCCTACCGGGAGAACGAAGCAAAAAAGCGACAGCCAAAAGGGACAGAAATCACGAGCAGCCAACAGTCGTTTGATCCTGCCGAGGAGCCTTCGAAATTGCCGGACGTATAGACTATTAATTTTGTATATCTACATGATATCCGTCAATAAGATTGTGTTCCAATCTTAATAAAAAAGTTCATTATTTATTGGTTTTTTCATTGCCAAAAGCTAATGCATTCTCGAAGCCCCAAATATATTAAAACGTAATAATTACAATTGTTGTGGTATTACATTTTAGTCATAATGACAATTGGTGTGATATTACAACAATTTTCATTATTACGTTTTAGTTTATTTAGGGCCTAAGAATGCTTTACTTTTTAGCAAGAAAAAAACCAATAAATGATGAACTTTTTTATAAAGATCGGAACACTAGATATACCAAATTAATATTTTAATAGTTTATGATGGATAGTTCGTTGACTTTTTTTACAATTAGATTTAATATTCTTTATATTTTTCAATACATAATAACGAATTGAATTTTCTACGCATGTTTAGTTTTTTAAGTTCGGTGGTTCATTTTTCATGGTTTTCAAGCTCTTTTGTAATGAAACAAGAGTCAAGTAAGATTTGAACCAAGGTATCAGTGGTTGAACCATGCGGGATTAATCTTCTGTTGTTAAAATGCTATGGACAAAGCCATTAGTGTATGGGTTCGAGTCATGGTTAGCTAATAGGAACATCTGAGTGTTAGAACTATGGTTTAAGTTATGGTTAGGTAATAGGGATATCCACATAATCAACATGGATTTTCTCATTTCTTCATTTGGAGATTGAAAGATGATCGTAGAGTTGTGAATGGATGATTTTAAAAAATCTATAGAGTTAACGATGCTTGTGAGTGAAATTTCTGTTGTTGGTTTTGAAGACATCGATAAAAACACATAGTAAGCCTAGAAAGAGTGCAAGGAGAATATTAAGTTATATCATATAATATATTTTACTTAAAAGGTAATCTACAAAAAAGTCTAAATATTTTGGTTTATTAGTAAAAAATAATGAAAAAGCTCTGAAATTTTAATTAATTAATGAAAAAACCCCAAAATTTAGATCAATTAACAAAAAACGACAACATGCTGCCTAAATCTATGAAATCGGCCACGAAAGGTTATTCTGAAATTTTAGCCGGTAATTTATCCTTTTTTACAAATAAAATTTAATTTGAAACTAAATCGTATATTCGCATAAAATATTAGAACTTTATTAGAGATTTCCTCTATATTATTGTAATTTATACATATAATTGGGATAAATTTTATTGATTCTATATTGGGGTAAAAAATGTCTCCTATTTCTAAAGGTATGAAATTATTATTTCTAAAATTATAATGCCTTAACTTTGTATATATATATCATCTTTCAAATATCATTTTGTAATATATATATATATATATATATATATATATATATATATATATATATATATATATATATATATATATATATAATTTTATTAGGTAGGTGTGAAATTATTGTCTCAAATATATAACTTTGTATTACATAATGATTAACATGTTTGTAAACAAAATTTGCATACACACCCATGTAAATAAATACACGGAATACACACAAAATAATTGATGCACATAATTTAGTACCATGAGTGAAAAAACATTTTTAGTTTTGGTGGTTTAATTCATAACTAGGGAAGGAACCCACGTTGCGGGGTTAGCTGGATGCTTTTTTTATTAGCACAAATAAATAAACGAACACGAAGCGGTACGCCTTGAAGCAACCGGTTTTGCTATAATTGTCATTTTGGCTTCTTTAAGCTCCAACTTTCCCTAATAAATCTATCTAATCGGTGTTTCTTGATTATATTAGAAAAAACATATTGGACTTTCTCGTCTTGTATTTCATTGTCATTTCATTGATTCCACATGTACATAATGAATTCAAAGTGTGAAAAATACATTTCTACGCACTTTCGAACCCGACCAGGTGACACTTTCTAATTTTTGGCACGGGGTCACAGCTGCTTCAACTGCAGTTTGTTTTTTCAATAGACTGCACATACCTTGGGTTGATAAGAAATCAACATGGCTACATCAGAAAATGAATGTGTAATGCTAAAATCAACAAAAACAATGAGCGTGCATTAATATTAACTACCCGTTTCCACAACATGTGCATCATTTGATTTCCATTGTGTTTCTATGTTATTTGAAAATGTATCTGTTGGATTAATCGGATATTATGTGTAGGGGTATTTTTGGAAAGTTTTGTTTTTTACTTTCTTTCCAAGTTTTTGTATTAGAGTCAAACTCTTGTTTTGTTTAGTATAAGTAGGGCTACGTAATTGAAGTTTTATAATTGAGTTTTCTGCCTTAATAAGAAATATACTAGCAGCTTAAGGAAATTTCCAAGTTTCTTTTATTCCTTTGTTTGTCGTTCTTCCTTGTTCATAACAAGGATTCATCAAAGTTGAATCCAAAACTTGGTATCAGAGCGTGGTTTTGTTGAAGGGGGTGTGATTCGAGGTTGATTAGAAACAACCCCGGTTTCTTTTAATCGGGCTTGTGAGAGACTAACTGGAGGCGCGGAGTAAACGAACGGGAAGATGTCAAAGCGGGTGGCTTTGATTCGGTTCGTTTTGCGGGTGACGGAAGACGGTAAAGGTGGTCGTGACCTTGTCTTGTTGTCCGGTGGAAGAGTGCTCTCGGAACAAGCTTGATTAAAGAAGTCGGGGTTAAGGAGAAAAAGATGGCGTTGGTTAAAGAAGGAGGTTCGTTGACATATCAAGTTCCGGTTTTGACTCCAACGAATTATCCGGTGTGGGCGGTTAAAGTCAAGTCAATTATGGATGCACATGGCATATGGGAGACGGTCGAACCGAAGACGTTAGATAAAGCACCAGATCAAAAGAAGTCAAAACAAGCTCTTGCTTTTTTGTTTCAAGCGATACCCGAAGACATGGTGTTGCAAATGGCGAGTTACACCGACCCAAAGCAAGTGTGGGATGGGCTAAAAACACGATATTTGGGAGTGGATCGGGTAAGAACGGCTCGACTTGCAACCTTAAAAAGGGAGCTTGAAAGTTTACGCATGAAAGAGGATGAAACGGTTGATGATTTTGTGACAAAATTATCCGGTTTAGCGTCAAAAGTAAGGAGTCTTGGATATGAGCTTGAAGAAGGTGATTTGGTAAAAAGGTTACTAGATTTGATGCCTGCTAAGTCGTTTCTCCAAATCGTGGCTTCAATAGAGCAATGTTTCGAGTTGGATTCAATGTTATTCGATGAAGCGGTTGGTAGATTGAAGGCGTACGAGGAGCGTATAAGAGGAACTGAGAAAGTGGAGGACACTCAAGGTGGGTTGTTGTTGGCTAGTGATGAAAAGTCACATGTTTGTAAGCATTGTGGCAATGGACGTTCAAATCGGGATGACTTTGGATGTGGCCGGGGAAGAGGTCGGGGGTCCGGGAGAAGTCGAGACGGTAATGAACGTGTCCGGGATAAAAGTCACGTTAGATGTTACAAATGTGGTGAGCTTGGTCACTACAAAAACGAGTGTCCTAAATGGGAAAAGGAAGAAGCGGGTCTAATCGAAGAGGAACCGGCTTTGTTTTGAACGACGAGTGGCTCGTATGACAAATCCGATTAAGGGGGTGATTGTTGGGTTAATCGGATATTATGTGTAGGGGTATTTTTGGAAAGTTTTGTTTTTTACTTTCTTTCCAAGTTTTTGTATTAGAGTCAAACTCTTGTTTTGTTTAGTATAAGTAGGGCTACGTAATTGAAGTTTTATAATTGAGTTTTCTGCCTTAATAAGAAATATACTAGCAGCTTAAGGAAATTTCCAAGTTTCTTTTATTCCTTTGTTTGTCGTTCTTCTTCCTTGTTCATAACAAGGATTCATCAAAGTTGAATCCAAAAGTATCATCTAGATTTGGGGCACTTAGATCGCTTGAATAGTATCACGATAAAACACAAAATTACAAATCCTCATTCATTTCTCAAGGAGCTTTGAGCTGTACTTTGCAAAAAGTGACAACAGAAACCATAATTGCATTAATTTATTTTTTATAAAATGCATTTTAAAAAGTATATGTTACCCAGTCATAGTTTTTAGAAAGAAACTCAACAACTGTGGATTCGTGTCGTGTCAAGATTTCCTGCAACATTTAATATGATTTAAAACAAATTGTGTACAAATATATAATCTTTACAACAAATTAATTGTGTCAGTGTGTGTGCGTGTGTGTGCAAAAGATAATGAATTTTCAAAACCTTAAATGTTGCGGCCGCATCTGCTTCGATGTCGAAATTTGGAAGCTGAACAAAGTCAAAGAATTTATTCATATGCTTCTACTCCAATACATACCTTTAAAACAAATAAAAAAGTAAAAACTCAAAATATTTATATATATGTAAATGAAGGTAGGATAATCGTTTTGTTTCAGACACATCAAAACAACGGTGTCATTTGTTTCTTGGGAGAAGAATTGATAAAACACCTCATCTTGAAAGGTAGGATTATCGTTGTTCTTTGAGTTCGTTTGCTTGCTTATTGAGTAAGAAATCCATTTGGTTTCTATCATATGAAAAGACAACCATGAACACTAAATAAATGAGATGACCTTCAAAAGGATAAAATACAAAAGACATTGTATGTATGTATGTATGTATGTATGTATGAATATATATATATATATATATATATATATATATATATATATAGAGAGAGAGAGAGAGAGAGAGAGGTATGTTCAAATGTGGAT